GCCGTCCATATAGCCACCTAAACTCTTGGGTGGAGCGCTTAAGGGATGGGGCGATCAATTACTGCTCAGCAACCAGAGCACCTCCCGTCGTAGAAGCGCTACACCTCGCTTTCTTGGCAGCCAAGCTACCGTAACCCATATACTTCCCCGATGCGCTCCCTCTTTATCGTAATGGCTTTTTTAAGTGATTTCGCAGAGATCTCTCCTAAGTAGCATTTTCTTTGTATGGAACAGCAATTGAGGCGGTGTGCTCGACATCCAGCTCCATACAGTGCGAGCCGCGGTTTCCATACTTTCACAAACCGCCTATCGATACCCTGTTCGCCGCTGAACCCAATATTGGCAGCCCCTCTCCTCTTAAAGGACCAAATACGGCTTCCATGTTTAAGGATTTCTCAGTGGCCTTGCTCCCAGTACAAAAACTGACACTACTGTGGGCAACAAGAACCATTGGGAAGGCTGCTGTGCTGATTCGAAGGCTCTATTTTCGTTTCAGCCTAATTCCATGATATTCAAACACCACACAAACTTCATTACTAGCTGATCATTAGGGGATTTTCGATGCGAGAGAAAAGCAGTAGAGCTCTGATCTGTGGTCAATGGTTGCTTGGTCGCTTGAAACTGCGTAAACAACCGAGCGCTTTATAAAGGTTGGCCAGCAGCAGTAACGGCACGCTCTCGCTCCAGCCCAGCTTTCTATTTTTAGCTCTTCTTTTTTAAAACGACCCTCTCTCACATCTTCTGTAGAGCCATTTTCTTCGGAGTTCTTCATGTCTTTCTCATAACAACATTGCCTCTTTTTCTGACTGTCACCCTTTTCAGATACGCGAAAAAATGAACTACAACCAAGGACACGAAAATACAACCTACCAAGGTTACTCGACCAACGTTCCAATGTACAGCAGCGATACCGGTGTGATTCACCCGTCGGAGCAGATCCGATTGGCTGATGATGATCCGTTCAGTCACAACATCGACTATAACCGCGATGGCAGCCATAACGCTCAGGAAGCTGGAAATACCGCCAAGGGAAAACTGAACGAGGCCGGCCGTGCCATCAAAAACACCGCTGAAAAAGTTGCCGATAAGGTATGCAGTTGCTAAGATTTCATTCTCCAACTGATCCTGTACAGTCGACAAGAAAAATTGTTTAAGGCCGGAGAGTTGAAGGACAAGGCCAAGGAAAAGATCCAGGATGGAGTCGATGCAATCAAGGGCAACTAAGCAGACTCAGGGACACTTATTTCATGTACATGTGTATAAATCCTAATCGGCAGCTACTCTTAAAGTCTGTCATGTGATTACTTCATGATCTTCAATGTTTCGGACAGTTTTGTAGAAAATAAACCTTAGAGACATGTTGTTGTTTGATGAGATTACCTACCGCGGTGAAACTCGGTGGATCGGCTCCTTCAAGAGTTACATAGAGCTATCCAGAGCCCCGATATGTACTCCCTCGCGATTCCCTACTGCCCGATAAGATGATTGAGCCACTTATTGGTAGTCGGTGGGGTCCCTTCCGTTGAACCATGAAGACCACGTCTAGCTTGCCATACCAACTGTAGGTTGTGCAGCGTTACCAAGCTCATCTTCGAGAGGGAGACGGAATTTCCGCTCAAATCATCTTTGCACTAGTGCCACCTATCTGGCCGACTAGGAGAAATACTTCCTTTCTCCGAAGAACTACCTGCAAAACCTAAGAACAAATAAGTCGTTTG